GCACATCTCAATCTCGGCGTGGTTTGCTTAAGTCTCAGCGATGTGGCTAACGCTCTCGTTCATTTTGACACGGCAATTTCACTTTTGCCACACTGCAGCTACGCGTATGCAAATAAAGCGGTGGCACTTGCTCGCAGTGGCGACATGGCTGGCGCGGAGCTGCACTTCAAAAAAGCAATAAACGAATTGCCATCACGAAAAGAATTTTATCTGGCACGTGGCAAAATTGTTGCTTTACAGAAGCGATTGCACGACGCAATGGTCGATTTCTCGACCGCGTTATTTCTCGGATACGACGGCAAACTGTAGTAAATATTATCTCGAAGTTTTTGTCAATATTTTGAAGTGCTTTCAACATGTACAGCGTGAATCGGTGTGGGCTTGCATATATCAGATCCACACTCAGTATTTTCAACTGTCGTGGCACCACAACACGAGTTTTCAGGAACAAATTTCTCATCTGGAGAGGGCGAACGCAGTTGCCACTGGTCTTCACTAAAGCTGCGATCGAAGCAAGCAAGGGTCGGATCAATGGGCAACACTGACGCGCTAACTTTGTCTTCCAGCTTCTCACTATCACAATCTTCCGAGTATCCACAATTTGTCAAAAACTTGGCAGCCTTTGAGTTTTCTCTTAGTGGCGAAGATTCCGAGCTTTCGTCCTCGGTTTCGGTATCCTCCTCATTGAGTTTCCAGTTGCGACATCGGACGATACCTACACCAAATCTCGCGCGGTTCACCCCAACAGCTCGTCGGCGACTCAGCGGAGGACGTGGAACAGTGCGTCGAGGTATTGTGGGGCGTGGAGTCAAGGCTCCGGCTTCGACGTCCTCTTCCAGTTCTGAGGCTTCTTCATCTTTCGCCACTCGATCAGCTTCTGTCACAACTAGTTCTGCTGCAGGTGACAGCGAAAGATTTGGCAGACCGTTGGCTTTGGCCTGTTTGGCGCGAATTTGTTGCACCGCAGCGGCGTCTGACACATCCGTAGGACTGCTGAGGAGAAAGGTGCCAGATTTTCCTTTTCCGGTTTGATTTCCACAGTTCCCATCTTCAATTTGCTGGTTGTTGCCTTGGCAATGTTGAATTCGGCGGTGGCGAACTGGAGTCTGTTGCTGCACCCACTCGTCAGGGATCCGACGCTTGTGACCTGTAAGTGACTGCCAGGACATTATGCGAGACCGTATCGATGTCGATGTGCACTTGGGCGCTTCTTGTCTGCTTTACAAGTGCGGAAGTCAGTTCGTCGTCACTGAATATGGGCAGTTAGAGAGAACGCGACAATGCACCGCAACGTACTTGAAGGCGTTCGTTCGGAAACTTTAAATGAGCACCTGGCGATACATTCTTCAAGTGAAAAATATGTACCAGATTCATGGTACTATGGCATTACGTTAAAATCAGCAACCTTTGTGTCCAGGACAGCTACTCTTTCCATTAGTATTTCTTAAGAAATTGCTAAATTTTGACAAAGTCATGCTAACAAAAACTATAACTGCAAATAGTACAAGTGAGCGGAATCACTTTCAGTGATATGCTACAGCATGATCACTGTAAATTACACCACGGAGGATCTAAAGAGTGCTCCGTTCGTGGGCAAGACGTCAGGTTACTCTGTCACCTTTTTGCTTTGGACTATCTCTTTTTTCTATCAACTGTGCGACGCTTGCGCGTTGTTCTTGGCCCAAACTACGTAGGTTCTTTTTCGACAGTATATTGTGAGTTCTTCTCAAAATTTCCATGGGCGGTTCTTTGAATGAACCTCCCCCAAATCGCCCAGCGTTTACAATACCGTATACTGACCCGTTTAAGTACGAAATAAGATCATGACATGTGGTAAGAAAAGACTTCCTAATGACTTGGATTTGTATGATGGCGATT